AATTTTTTTAAAATTATCTGAATAGGTTATGAACTCACACTATTCAAAATGGCATTGGGTTCCCCCACTGTCTCTCCAGTGCTATGTTTTGACAGGCGTCCTCTTCTTTCTTCCCAGGATGGGCAGCATGTGCACCTTCACCTTTCAACAGTTCTCAGTTGCTTGCACAGTGCTCCCAGATGCCCTTACATTTGTAAATGAATGAAAACAGAGCTCTGTTTTTCTACACAAGATTCTCGATAACAAATGAGACACGCAATGTTTATCTGTTTACTGTTTATTGGGTATAATATTCTTAACAATGACATTTTCTACTGAACTAGTAGGCTGTATTTACTTGTAGATTCCCCCATATGAGAAATGCGTACAAAAATAACCGCATGTAACATACAAAGGTGAAAACATGAGTTTATCAAAGCGCTATCAATGGATGAAGCCCTGCAGAACGGCTGTGCGGGTTACCCGAGATGTACGATTAATCAGAAAGGAGCTAAGCAGCTTGTGGTTGGTCAGTTATGTTGGTGGTTGCCGTATTCTGATGGCTGGCTTTCCAACCATTACCAAGTTGCCCTGCTAGGAGGACTGTTAGTTCCAAGAGTTCTGCCTTGGAGTCTCATGAAATTTATGTGTGTGTTTGTGTGTGTGTTTTCCAGTCACTGCCTTAGGAAGTACCAACATACAGGCCAAGGAAGATAACCCACTGTTTGACTTGTTTGTAAGGAAATCATGTGATGCTGAATCTGTCTCCATTTAAATGTGCTAAATTGGGAACTAAAATGTTACTTTCTTGGAGAATTACAGATAACACAGAACATGATCTTTGAAGGTATAGAAAGGTAGGCGGGTGGCTGGGCTCTCAACTTGCAGGGGCCAAATCACTTTCCAGTTGCTGAGTGTTAGGCCTCCCGCCAATCTCTACCCATTATTGAGCATCCCAACAATTTCACAATGCTGGGCTGCTTTTCCTAGTTTCTCTCATATGAGTAAAGCTTGCAATGGTTTGATAATAAACTGCTCTTTCCCTAATGTAAGTGTGTGTGTGTGTGTGTGTGTGTGTGTGTGTGTGTGTGAGAGAGAGAGAGAGAGAGAGAGAGAGAGATGTATGCTTGTATGTTGTTCCCCACAAAAGGCACAAAAATGGTCCGTTCATTGTCTGCACAAATGTCTCCTGCAAGGGTCCCCACTGCCCAGTGGTCCTGAGTATGGGCTCACAGACCTGGGAGATTTACTTACTTCATTAGAGTTGAAAAGCAAGAGATGCCAGTGGGAAATTCAAGTTGCAGCAACAGCATTTTGCAGTCAGTGCTAACTTGATTTTCTATGGCCAACTCTACCTTCTAATTAGAGCAAGGCATTAGGAGGGAGATCACTGTGGTTGATATGCAGTGGGATAGATTCAAGGCTGGTGCGTGCTGGGGGGGGGGGCGGCTCTGTGCTATGGCCCTGGAGAAGGCTGGACTGGACTGTCTAGTAGGTGAACCTTGAAAGGTAGCCACACATTGCCACTTTGGCTTGAAGTGGTGACAAAGGTAAAACCTTGGCTCTCTCGGATGAGGGAGGCTTTGGCATGGGGTCTGGCCAGAGTAAGGCACTTGTGATTGGCAAGAGAGGAAGACAAGTTGGTGCCTGTGTTTTCCTGTGTACTTTGTATGATGGAGCCACTGCTGAGCTGTGTGGCGGAACTAGGAGTGGATGAGAGAATAAATGGCCTCTCAGTATCCTTACCCACTTTGCCATACTGCTCAAAACACCCAGCTCTTGGTTCTGGGGGGTGGGGGTGGGGCTTCTGGGACTGTTGGTGTCTCTTAGTCTCGGTCATTTGTGTATGACCGAGGGCATCTGAGAACAGTGGGGGAGGATCTGTAGACTAAGTGTCCCTGGGCTAGAGCCTGATCTAAGAGAATTAAAACATGAAGCAAGCCTCAGAGGAAAGAGCTGCAAGCGGCCAGGCGCCCTGCTGCCCAGCCATTGTCCTCCCAGTTGTCAGGGTGGCGCTGGCTCAGAGTGCTCAGTAAACATCTGCGGAGAGGCAGGAGGATGCTCAGGCCTCCTCATTGGCCCAGCTCCAGCCTCTTTGTAGCACCATGGGGATCACAGGCTCCTAAGAACATTCAGACACAGCCGAGGCTTTGGCAGCTCCTAGGGAATGCATTGATGGGTTGTATTGATTTGTTGGAGAACAATGACCCATAGCTTCAGCCTGAGAATTCCTAATAAAGTTAAGAAGGCATAAAAACGTCTCCTCAGAGACCAGTCAGGAGTATTTCTTCCCGTAGAGTTTAATTTGTTGCTTGTGTGGTTTCTGTGATGTCATCCCACATGTGTGAGCTGGAAATGCTCACACAGCGCAAACTCGGCATGCATATTTTGAAATGGAAAAAATGCATTGTTGCTCTCCATCTGATCCCACATACTGGAAAAGCAGACTTGGGAATACTGTAGGAGACCAGCTCTTAAGTGGAATGCCGGCAAGGTTCACCTCCTCCCTAAAGCGGGGTCACATCACCTTGGTGCAGGAAGGACATGAGGACATCCGGCCATGCCTATGTCTGTGCACTTGCCTCATGTCTGGGAACTGGACCACTCTGCTGGACTTTCTCAGGGATAGTCTCAGAAACCTCAGCCGACTAATCATGTGTACAGTGTGTTTAAACGTAAGATAGACTGCAATTGAACTGCGAGTATTCATTTTGGTCTCTGTCACTTAAAGGCTATAGAAAGGGAGAGACAAACTATCCTCTCAATAAACCCCCATGCTGGTTATTGGTGCCTAAGTTTTGTTAAAATTGGGGTTATTGCTAAATATGCTTTATTTGATAACTACTATATCTTAGAGGTATTCTTTTAATAATACTGTCTATCCTGTAAGGGAATATCAGGATTAACTATGTTCTTATTCAGAAACAGATGCATGGCTCTGGAAAACAAGCAGCCAGCACCGCTCAGCTGTGAGGGAACCATCGGCACCCTTGGTAGCCTCTGGGGAGATGGCAAAGAGCACGGTTCCAACATCCTTTAAATCAAACTCTCCCTGGTACTCCAAAACCAAAGTACAGAAATGACAGAAGAAATGTGGGTTTGCAGCTTCCCTTTCACTCCACCCAAAGGGTGGGCTCATCACCTGTTCCAACTAAACCTTTGAGTGTGACCATGCTCACACAGCTCTGGAACTTTTCCAGTTGTGTAAGTTTGAACTTAATACAACTACCCAACCTCACATCAGTTGCAAAAATTCTGCATGTATCCCGGCAGCAGTGAAACTATCACTGTGCCAGGAAACGAGACAGCCTATGAGAGTTCTTTTGTGCATCTGTGATGTGGATTTATTTACCCACTGTGTTCAAGACCATGTGTTTCCCAAGGCTGAATACAGTTTGAATTCTGGAGAGCAAAACAAAGTCTAAGTCTGTATTTCCCCTTCGGCTTCAAGACACAGGGCAACCATTGATACTACCCTTTCGAAGATGCCTGATCCTAAAATACTCAGATGCTACAGAACCAATGTCAATTACCTTCTACTGTGAAAGCCGGTCATCCCACACCTCGCCAGGACACAGTGATACCTCTACCATTTGCCTTGCATGTTTAAAACTATCTTTCACAGCATTAGCTTGAGGCATCTTAAAAATATGCTCCTGAAGGCGGCTTTCCAGCCAGGCATGAAAGAGTGAAAGATGGAGGGGTTTCCTGACTAAGTCTGCCTTTCGTGAGCCTTCGGCATTGGGGAACTGATGTCTCTGTCATCCTAGGATGAGTTAACAACAGGTATGTTCCCAGTGTGGGCACGACTGAGATGCTATGCTGCAGAAAACAGGATGCCCTCAACAGAAGAGATGGGTGACTTTGGGTTCTTTGTCCCGCGACTACTAATAAGGATAGCAGACATGGCTGTACGATGAGAATAACATTCCATGGGGTTATAACGTTTGCAAGCATATGGATTCTGCCTAGTTTTTAATAAGTCGAGCCTTGCAGTAAAAGAGGAGATTTTTATCTCCAGGGTTGATCGACTAGATCTGGTTACCGGCTCACATCTGAAAATGTTTATGGTCCCATAGAAAGCCGCTTCTATCTGTCAGAACACAGGGTCATTGTATTACAGTCAAGAAGACAATGTGGCAATTTGCTTAGCTCGAAACGGGGCAGGAGACAGAGGTCTGCAGTGCCTGGGCAGTGGCTTTCTCGCAGAAACACCACTGTTCCCAGTGTAAACAACATGCCCATGCATGCCAGCACTGTGCACCAGGGCAGCCAGAGAGAAGCTCCTGCTGGCTCTGGGAGCAGAGCCTTGGGCGGCATCACAGACTTCTTTTTCCTCCAAAGGTGTTCATGGCCTCTCAGCTCAAAGTCAACTGTCTGCCTGGACTAGGGTTCCAGTCTCTATCCTGGTGTGGCCACACCTCAGCTTTCTTGCTAGTACTCTAGGTTTTCTCCAAGATCTTCAGGGTGCAGAGCTGCAGAGTCTGAAGCCCTGTCAGTATGTAGGGCCCAAGACCTTCCTTAAGGCCCTGGCTACAGTCCAAGATAGGGATTCCAAAAAAATAAAAATAAAAAAAAAACTCATACCAGGGTCCGCTTGGGGTATCCTGAGCTGTGTATCTGGTACTGTAACACAGCCTTGGGGAGCTGTTTTCCAATAAGGCCTCAAACAGGAAGTAAACATCTCATCTTGGATCCCATCAGGCAGGATCATTCAAGTCCGCCAGAAGAATGAAGCACAAGGAGCCTTCTGTAGAAAACCCCGCGATGGCACAAATGCCTGCTACGGCGCCCTGCGCAGTAATAGACACTTTGCATAAATTAATAACTTACAAGTACCTGAGCAAGGACACAAAGCACCACAGCACAGCACCGACGGCAGTAGCTCTAAGTTCCGGAAACAATGGCGTTTTAAACACTGAAAATTCTTGAAAGTTGGTATAAAAAGAAATCACTCCTATGGAGTTGAAGATAGTGCAAACTTCTGTCTTCACTGTTGAGGACCAGTCTGGGCTTGCTTGTCACTTGATGTAGGCATTGTGGGAAGATCGGGGCACTTGGTGCTTAGGAGCAGGTCTGAATCAAGAGCAAGCCAGGGAGGAGAAAACAAAACTGCAGTTAGATGCTCTGAAGCCGTTCTATAGACACAAAAGCTGGGCGGGAGGCTGCTCCTGGAGACTGGTGGGTCTCCCAGGCTAGAAGCCACTGATCTCCACCTGAGACTGGAGGCCAGGCTAGCTTTTGGGAGAGAATGCAGAGTGCACCAAGGACCTCACTGCAGAAGTCCTAGTGATTTATGACAGGCCACCTCCCCTCTCTGGAGCTGTGCCTCCCATCTATGAGTTGATTCTAGACTAGCACCATTTGCAGAAAAATGGACATGAATGGCTCAAGACAATCCCTAGTTTTTCCTTTTAGATTTATCTGTAACGTCTCTGCATGTGAGTGCAGGTGCCTGTGGAGGCCAGAAGAGGGCGCTTCTGATCCCCCTGGGGTGGTTACAGATCCTTGTGAGTCACCCAATGGGAGCGCTGGCAACAGAACTCCAGCCCTCTGGAAGAACAGCAAGTGCTCTTAACCACTGAGCTGTTCTCTCCGGCCTCAAATTCTATATTTCTAACAACCAAGTGGCACAGGTGAGCTCAATTTTATTGCTGTATCATCTTAGTATATAATCAGCATACATAACTGGGAGAATCAAGGGGGCAGAATTAAGTGTTCGAAATCTGGTACACGTTTACACTCTTATTTCAGTTTTGAGCCAGCTCCAACATGCCTAGTAGCCACTTTGATCCCATGGCACAGCTCAAGAGATGGGGAGCCAGGCTGACATCAGTAGAGGTGAGGCAGGAGGCTGCTTGGGATGTTCTGAAAAGGAGTGCCCCTTGGTCAGCCTTATGTCCATGCAGTAGTTTTGTCTAGTGAAATATAAAAAGTAACTCAAAAGCTATGCAGCTTTTTCTGCATTTCCACAGTGGTGAGCTAGACTGTTCTCTTGACCCTCTGACCAGCATTATCTCCGAGATTTACGAGGCAGCCATTTCTTTCCTAGGCCAACACATTCCTCCCAAGAGCTGTAATGAATCAATGACGTGCATCTTCCCCTGCAGAGATGGGAGTTACTAAGCGTGCAGCCTTGCTAACAGCATCTCTTGTTCTCTGGTGCTCAGAGAGCTCATGGCCTGCTAGAGGGCACATGAGTCAGAAGAGTGGGTTGTGAGTTTAATGATCTGCTAGCCAGACATGGTAGCTCGTTCCTCTAGTCCCATCCCAAAGGAGGATAAGGATTGAGCGGCTCATGTCAACCTGGCTACTAGGGAGGTGAATGCTAGGCTATGGTGTGCTTGCCTAGTACGTTTTATCCCAGGAACCGAGGAAAAACAAAACAACAAAATACCCACAAGGGAATAATTTCACCGAGGAAGAGGTTGAGCTGCAGCATTTGCTGATTTCCATCTTGTCAATGTCCCCAGCTACACTATGGCACCAGCAAACCTGGAAGATGGGAGAGCACCCAGCATGCCATGGATTCCCCCATAGAGATTCCTGATGTGAGTAATCTTAGCAGCAAGGATCTGGGAGCAACGTTTTGAGTATTCATTACCCTTGTTTTAAATGCAACTCGATATACTTTAATATTTAATATTGGCTAGGTTGCAAAGGCACGAGCCAGCTTCAGTAAAGCTGTGGGTTACCTCTCCCCATGTAAATAGAATCTGGGCTACAGCTGCCTCATCCTCTATGGGAGAGGGGTGAAGATGACCATATTCAGAGAGAGAGCCAGCACAGGTCACTCAGCTGTAGAGAAGCCCCCAGCAGGACCCTACTGAGCAGCTGCTTAGGCCTCACCTCTTCATAATCTCTCAACCTGAACTATTGTCTCAGCCCCTGGAGTAGGCAGAGCAAGTCTTGGTGAGGGTGGTGGAGGGTCCTGCCTTTATACAGATAAACCATTTTCCTTAGTGCCTGTAGGAGACCAGGCTGGGCCTGTGTCAGCAGCTCATCCTTCCTGGGTCATCTTCATCCTGCTATGATCTCTCAAGTAAGTGAGCCATTGCTGAGAGCCCTGGGGTGATGTTTAGGTATGCATAGGTAGGTATAGTTTGCTTTGATTGCTTCCTGGTTTACTTTTACACATATCTCCCACTCTTCCCATGCTGGAAGCAGGAAACATGACTTAACACCTGAAACTTGCCACACCTCCAGTGTGGTTACTTCAGCTACCCTCTACCATTAGAGGACACCTACCTGTTTGGGGCTGGGCGGAACCCAGGCTCTTGCTGCCCTGGGGTCCTCACCAAGGCACTAGTGAGCCGAGATGCCCTGCTCAATGGATCAGCAGGCAGAGGCTTCTGAGGAGGGCTGGGTTTGTGGGTGCCCTGCAACAGACAACAGACCACATGTGACTCAGCTCTGTGGTCAGAACTGGACCCTGGGACCCAGTAGTCTCCTGGAAGGCAGTACACATTGCTATACAGTGCTGGCTTCATCTCCGATTCATAACCCTTCTACGATACAAAGTAGGGCCTGTATTTAGCCTTCATGTGGAATTTTCTGCAACATTTAAAAGAATCATGTAGGTACACTCCTATGTGGGTCATCTGACCTCACACGTCTTAAGGGTACAGTGGGTGGTAGGGTTCTGTTCTGTCAGTGCCCCTAGGCGATGGATATAAATCCACCCATGCTTTCAGACAATCTCAGTTTATGAAGGACTTGCTAAATGGAGGATGCACAGGATTTAGAAGACAGCCTTCCTCCTGGGGCCAGGATCTGAAAAAGATAGTCAGAAAGCTTTGTAATTTGTACAACTTGTTGCATTATCTGTAGAAAGGAGCCATGTAGTGACTTATGGGACAAGTAAAGGCCTGTGAGGACACTATGGAGTGATGGGTTCCTGGCCAAGGGGTCAGAGCGAGAACTTGAGGGTTATTCTACATTGAGTTATATCCAAAGGGACTCACACAAGTCTACCTCTCTGGAAAATGGAGTGACCTATCTTGTAGCCCTGGTACGGGACTTAAATAAAAGAACATGTAAGATGTTCCCAGCACATGGGTAATTATTATACCAGCAGTTATTCGTGTGGCAACTTTAAATGCTTCATGGAAATCTAAGACCCCTTGAGGCATCTCCTGGGGTCCCTTCCTCTCTGCCCCTGGTGAGCATCAGTCAGCAAATACTGTACAAACTCTCCTGGGTCCAGGATAGGTCTGGTTAGCATGACACTTTCCATTCTTGGCCCCATCGTTGCAGGGGAAAAAGGACCCTGAGGATCAGAGTTAGAATCCCTTACAGGATGTCTTGGTCATTAAATGAGCTGATGCACTTGCATGAAGAGGCATGGTGGGGCACACGCGTGGTCGCAGGCATTGAGGCTACACAGCAAAACACACCTTAAAAGTCACACAAAACCTGCACTGTCTTGGGATTTGGTAGATCCATGTGTCCATCAGGATCCAAACATCAACACCAGAAAATGGAAAGATCTCCCACACTCTGGGGTAGGTAGAATTAACATAGTAAAAATGGCAATCATATCAAAAGCAGTCTACAGATTCAGTGCAATGCCCAGCAAATCACAGCAAAATTCTTCAAAGACCTTGAAAGAACAATAATCAACTTCATATGGAAAAACAAAAAAATTCAGGATAGCCAAAACATTTCTGTACAATAAAAGAACTTTTGGAGGCATCACAATTCTTGACTTCAAACTCTACTACAGAGCTACAGTAATGAAAACAGTCTGGTATTGGCGGAAATACAGACAGGAGGACCAATGTAATTGAATCAAAGACCCGGATATCAATCCTGCAAACACTTGATTTTTGACAAAGAAGCTAAAAATATAAAATGGAAAGAATAAAGCATATTCAACAAATGGTGCTGGCATAACTGGATATCAACATTTAGAAAAATGAAAATAGATTTGTATCTGTCTCCATCCACAAAACTCAAGTCCAAATGGATCAAAGACCTCAGCATAAAACCAACCACACTGAACTTCATAGAAGAGAAAGTGGGAAGTACATTTGAATGAATTGGCACAGGAGACCACTTCCTAAATATAACTCTAGTAGCACAGGCACTTAGAGCAAAAATTAATAAATGTGGCCTCCTGAAACAGAAGCTTCTATAAAGCAAAGAACATGGTCAACAAGACAAAATGGCAGCCTACAGAATGGAAAAGATTTTTAGCCAACCCCACATCAGACAGAGGACTGTTATCTAGAATATACAAAGAACTCAAGAAACTTGACATTAAAAGAACAAATAATCCAATGAAAAAAATGGGGTACAGACCTAAACAGAGAATTCTCAACAGATGAATCTCAAAGAACTAAGACATGGAAATGCTCAATATCCTTAGCTATCAGAGAAATGCAAATTAAAACAACTCTGAGATTCCATCTTACACTGTCAGAATGGCCAAGATCAAAACCACTGACAGTTTATGCTGGAGAGGATGTGGGGTAAGGGGAATGCTCCTCTATTGCCGGTGGGAGTGCAAACTTGTATAGCTGCTTTGAAAACCAGTATGGCAATTTCTCAGAAAATTAGGAAACAATCTACCCAAGACTCAGCAGTATTGCTGTTAGGTATATACCCAAAGGAAGCTCAATCATTCCACAGGGATATGTGCTCAGCTATGTTCATAGCAGCATTACTCATAATAGCCAGAATCTGGACGCAACCTAGATGCCCCTCAACCAAAGAATGGATAAAAAAAATATGGTAGATTTACACAATGGAGTACCACACAGTGTTAAAAAAATAATGGCATCTTGAAATTTGCAGGCAAATGGATAGATCTAGAAAAAAACCATATTGAGAGAGGTAACCCAGACACAGAAAGACTAATATGTATTCACTCATAAGTGACTTTTAAACATAAAGAAAAACCAGTCTACAGGCCACAACCCCAGAGAAACTAGACAACAAAGAGGAGAAAGAGATATATGAATCTAAACTACATGGGTATAGAAAAAGACAAGATCTCCTGAGTAAATAAGGAGTGTGGGGATCACAGGAGAGGGGAAAAGGGGAGAAGGGATGATGGGAGGGGAGTAGAGAAAAATGTATAACTCAATAAAAAAATTTAAAAAACCAAAAAAGAAAACCAAAAAAGTTACTTCAAATGTGTATGATGTTTTCACAGTGCTTGAACTAAAATCACATCTCCTGAACTACAGACAGCAGCTCAGAGGCTACAACACCAGATTAAACAGCTCCCTGCAACATGATGGGGCGCCTACAGAAGTCAGCAAACTACAGCTGTGTGGGAGATGTGCCAAGAATGAACAACAGACAGATTGGACTCAGAGAGAGCCCCGAACAGGGGCCAGACATACAGGTGACATGTCTCTTATCAGATCTCATCAGAGGAAATAGGAGAAGGCGCTAGAATATAGACAAACCCCCTAGGTAGGTGTAAGGACCATACTGGCTGTGCACACGCCAGTGTGCCCTAGCTTTTGGACAAGTGCAGGGATAATAACAGCCTTCCCTCGGGGTTGGAATGAGGACTGACAGAGTAAAGCTCTTAGCGCAGGGCCTGGCATGTGTTCACTCAGAGTAAGAGCCGCTGCCGTTTGACAGCCGTGATTGACAGGAATTTCACCCTAGCAACAAGCCCTGGGTAATGAAGGCCACACACAAATCAAGCTCCAGTTCTCATCACAGAACAGAAAACCGAACACAATGTCTGTGTGTAATGTAAAAATGAAAGCACACACTCACCATAAAAGGAGACTCAGGTTATAAAATCATTCCTTACCAAACAATACTAATTTTTCTGCTAAATATGACGAAGTATCTAGTCTCTGCAGTAAAGATAACACCAGGGTTTTATTGGTGTGTGGGAGAGAAGGTAAGGTGTATGTTATAGTCTGCTTTAACACATTTGGATTTATCATGGAAACTTAGGAGATAATTATGACTTTCCCACGATAGTCTCAATTTCTGCTCATAGTCTTGTGAGCCATCATGTCCTCTCAGATGGTTCGCAGCTTTAAGGACAATGGGATGTTCATCCCTGTGATAAAACTCCAAACAGTCAAGATGCTGATGGAAAGTTTGTGAGCTCTGAGGACAGTGAGGGTCCCCATCTGTCCCGCCTTGCCATGGTCAGGAGAGGGTCTAGTCTAGACGGTTGCTTATGCGGTGTCAGGCCTCTGTATAATGCAGCCATCTCTGTGGGAACTAAGAAGGAACTCCGGGCTGCTCTTACTGGTACATTTTTCTTCAGTCTATATTTTCAACAAAATTCAAACATCATTCCTTTTCCCTCAGGTCGCAGAGAAAAGTCCCAGCCTGTCTGTCACATGGGGTCCTGGGCCTCTGCTTCCCACCTGTGTTCTAGCAATAGCAGTGCATTGCAGAACAACGTTCTCTCTCCCCCTCCCCTCCTCCCTCTCTCAACTTTGAAAACAAACATGACAAAATTAAAATGTGGCCCTGTTGCCTTGACCGTCGTGCATTATCAGCTTGCACATAGTCTACCATAGTAAATATGTCCTGCTATCTGGGAGTTCTGTGCAGGGAGACTGGAGCCCATGACCCCAGAAAGCCAGAGCCGCAACTGCGGTCCTAGGGTGACATTAACACATCTCGCTGTAACGAGTGAATCTGTCTCTGGCTAAAAATGTTGTGGATATTATGACCATAGATAAGATTGTAGCCCACTACAGTGATGCGGGCATCATGGAACTGACCAAAGCTGACACACCAGTGGATCTTCCATAGCCAGAACCATGGCAGGCAGGGCCACTGTGACCCCCCCCTTCTTTACTGATTAGGTAAAATGAATACTTCCCGCTCTCCCTAAAGGAACCAGATAGCTAAAAGAGTAAGATATTATTGAATCAAAACACAGTGCAAGGATAAGGAAGGAGGAGAATGAGGCTGGAGGCATCTGGCCTCTTAAGAAAACCCCGAGTCTTGTTATGGAAACCCAAGTCCTGATTTGATTCCTGTCTACAGTGAGTACAGAAATCAAGTCAGCACCTTTGGGTGGAAACCAGATGCCCTGGCTTCATGGGGGGACCATGGTTTAGTGGGATGACATTTATCCCCCAGCCTCTGTGCAGCAAAGCTCTGGTGCTCTGCAGAAAGAGGCATCAGGTTAGGAACTGTCTGGACAAAAATGCACACTACTATCTACTGACAGTGGATGGCATCTTAATGCTGCAGGTAGAGGGGAAAGCTTTGAGCCCTTGACTTTCCTGTCTGTGGTAGTTTGGATGTAATTGGTCCCTATAAGGCATTATTAAAGGCATTATTAGGAGGTGTGGCTTTGTTGGAATAGGTATAGCCTTGTTGGAGGAAGTGTGTCATTGTGGGTGTGGGCTTTGAGGTCTTCTTTGCTCAAGCTTCACTC